AGTTTAGTTTTTCTATGAATCTGGGCCTATTTTGAGGAAGCAGATTTTCGCGCTTAAAGATCGCAACTTTTTTATGACTTGATGTTTTGTGAACTCAAAGCAGCACGATGATGGACTGCAAGTCTCGATTTACAAAGAATGTTGTGACACGTGTGATATTCCAATACATAAAGAAATAATCCCGTTTAGTAAATTTTTTTGAGCGATTTTACACATCGTTTCTCCTGAAGAGGCGACATTTGGGGAAGCGTTTCTCGATAACTGTTTCTTCTCAGTCGTTGAGCTCCTCGGAAAATACGAAAATTTAAAATAGTGGGCCTACAACGACCTGTTGTCGCTCAAATACGAACGATTGACCTTCGCTGTCACTCTGACTAAACTTCCTTGCACTAACAACCTACAATATGGTACTCTAAAATCTCCAAGGCCAAGCTGATGCCCAAATGGATGGAAATTGCTAATAATTGCTTAAGTTCAGTTTTTAAGCTGAAATCCCACTAAGAGGGAATACTAGAGGAGAAACTCTTATGAGCATGCTATGCGATTGCAAAATTGCTGGTGAATCTTCACATCAAACTCGCATCTAATGTCGAGCAAATGCGTACCTGTTGTCGTTGATAAAGTTGAGCCTGATGCAGTTGGCGGCTCCTGAGAAGTTGTTGTAGATACTGCGGTCATGATTGCATGCACCGTCGTTGTACTGGCAGGTTCTTTTGTCGTCGAAGTCATTCCAGTGATGATCGTAGGTTTTATCACCGTTGAAGGATAGTACTGTGCTGGAGGTCGAAGGAACTTTTGTAGTCGAAATCGGCAAGATACTTGTTGAGAAAAGATTCGTTGTGGGGCTCTTAGACTCTATCGTGGTGGAGGCTAGAACTGTACTAGAGGTCGCAGGCTCACTTGACGTAGTAGTCTCTACAGTGGTGGTCGTCGTGGTTACCCTCGTTGTAGGATTTCGCGGCATGCTTGTCGAAATGAGTTCTGCTGTAGTGCTCTCAGGTTCTGCTGTCGTGGAGGCTGGGACTGTACTGGATGTCGTAGGTTGAGTTGTCGTTGTAGGCGCTACAGTAGCTACAGTAGTAGTAGATGCAGGTTCTGTCGTCATGGAGGTTCGGATTGTATTGGAGGTATTAGGTTCTGTCGACGTCGAGGTTGGGATTGTACTGAGAGTCGTAGGTTTAGTCGTCGTAGAAGACGCTACAGTAGTAGTGGTTGTAGGTTGCATCGTAGTCGAAGTTGAAACAGTGCTGGAGGTCGTAAGTTCTGTTGTAGTGGAAGTTGGGACTGTACTAGTGGTCGTCGTGATAGACGCCACAGTAGTAGTGCTCCCAGGGTTTAACGTCGTAGAGGTTGAGACTGTACCGGAGGTCGCAGGTTTACTCGTTGTGGTAGACGGTACAGCAGTAGTTGTCATAGGTTGCGTCGTAGTCAAAGTTGAAACTGTACTGGAGGTCGTAGGTTCTGTCGTCGTGGTAGACGCTATACTAGTAGTGGTTGCAGGTTCTGTCGTCGTCGAGGTTGGAACTGTGCTGAAGGTCGGAATTACCGTCGTCGTGGAGGTTGCTACTGTACTGGGGGTCGTAGGTTGATTCGTCGTAGTGGACGCAGTGGTAGTTTCTCAAGTTCTGTCGCCGTGGAGGTTGGGTCTGTACTGGAGTCTTAGTTCTGTCGTAGTGTAACTCTATCTCTAGTAATGGTTGCAGGTTCTGTCTTCGTCGAGTGAACTGTGCTGAGGTCGTAGCGGCCGTTCGTCGTTGAGGTTGTACTGTACTGGGACGTAGGATAATCGGCGTAGTCGGACGCAGTGATTCTCAAGTTCGTCGTCGTGGATGTGGATCTGTACTGGAGTCTAGGCTCTGCCGTCGCGACGGTGATTGTGCTGAGAGGCCGTGGGAACGAATACACGCGCATCCTCTAGGTAAGCGTCGTAGTCGAGGCATATGGAACTTATGGAGGTCCGTAGTTCTGTCTCGTGTAGAGCGCTAATACAGTAGTGGTGCAGGTTCTTGTCGTCGCGAGTTGAACGTATGCTGAAGTCGAGTGCCTGTCGTCTAGAGTTTGGCCACTACTGGGTCGTAGTTGACCAATCTCGTAAAGTGGACGCAGTGGTAGTCTCTCAGTTCTGTTCGCTGAGCGTTCGGACGTACTCGGTCTTAGTTCTGTCGCGGTAGACGCTAATCCTAAGTATGGTTCAGTTTGTCTTCGTCGAGGTGGAATGTCTGAAAGTCGAGTTGCCGGTCGTCGGGAGGCTGTACTGTAGTGGGTCGTAGTAATACTCCGTCGTCGTGACCAGTGGTAGTTCCTCAAGTTCTGTCGTCGTGAGGTGGAGCTGTACTGAAGTCTAGGCCTTGCCGTCGTCCGAGTTGGATTTGGTCTGAGATCGTAGAAGATGAACACTGCTAGCATCCTCAGGTAAGCGTCGTAGTCAGGTTGGAAACTAGAGTGGGAGTCGTGGTTAGTCGTCGTGTAGGCTTTACAGTAAGTATGTTGAAGGTAAGCGTCGTATTCTGGGTTTGGAACTGTGCCTGAGGTCCGTAAGCTCTGTCGTCGGAGCTTGGGAACTGTTATTGAGCTCCACTGTTCGTCGTCCGTGGGGTTGATTGACTTGTGGTATGTAGCTTGGCTCGTCGGAAAGACGTAATAATGGTAGTGGCTTGGTAATTTCTTAGTCGAAATCGGTGACATTCTTGTGGATTTATGTTCTGCTGGTGTGCTCTTAGCTTCTGTCGTCGTGGATGTTGGGGCTTTCACTTTGGTTCGTAGGCTTTAGCCGTCGTAGTAGTGATAGTGTTCCCCGTCGTCGTGGACGTTGACGGTGTTCTGGAGGATTGAGGTCGTGTCGCCGTTGAGGATGTAAGCGTGCTGGATGTCGTAAGGTTCTTTTGTCGGAGATGTCGGTACTGAGATATTAGTCGTTGGTATTGTCGAAGTCGGCACTATAATAGCGGATGTAGCGCTGTGCAGCTGTCTTTGAAATCAACAAATCAGTTTCCAGTGGTGGTAATGTAGTCTGGATTGAGGGGATTGTGATCTTCAATTTTAGTGGTCGATGTTGTTGATGCCATCGTACCAATTGACATACTTGATTCCACGCCCCTCTGCATACTGGAAGGTAGTTGTCAATGACGACGCGTGAAGGTTGTGAGATACATTGTGGTTGGCATTGCGATATGTCCGCCCCGTTGCGCCTATTAGGTCTCTCGAAGAAATAGCGATTATTAGTAAAGCGTAGTAGTAAAGTGCCATAGACTGGGAGTTCAAGGTGGTGAACTACGGCCGTAAACGGTGAATAATGAAAGGCGAGACAGCCAGATGACCCCGCTCTGAATGGCGAACTTCACTACATTCCTAGCAAAAGTCGCGTCGCCATGGACTTGAACCATGTAATGCAGCGCCCATGAGCGCGACGTTTGCCACTGCACCACAAAGCATTGCTGTGTTACTTTGAAAGAATTGTAGAGCGCGTAATAACCTATGAGGGTTGCAAAATCCCAGTCATCCTGGAGTACTGACCTCTGACCGCCCCATTGCCAACATAGACCGAAGCCGCTACACCACCCGAACAAAGGCCTTGGGATGTTTTCTTAGGAAGATTGGAGGGACGTGAAGCCAGTAGTGCGACTGTGTTCTTTACTTGAGCAAGTCTTCTGGTGGATCGCTTCCATACTTTTTGAGAATTATTCCGTGCCTTTCCTCATTCTTTCGTTGTTCCACACGCACTTTGGCCAGTGCTATGGATTTGGTTTGTTTGTTCTCAACGACTCTTTAAATCCCACCCCTTCGAATGAACTTAATAAATTTGAAGAAAGTAACAAATTCAGGGAACAAGATTCTTAGCGAGGTAATAATGAAGACAAGGCGGTTAAACTCATGATGGACGTGACAGCTTCACAGAAGTTTCCGAAATTTCCGTAACTTGGAAATTTGAACATGAAGGGGCAAATACGCCAAGGCAAATCCATGAAGCATTTGCTACTATCGAGAGGTTGTGTCATTGCTGGTCAGTATTTAGCCTCGGTAATGGAAATATGTTGATTTACAATTATCGAACTACATTACTCGCTGTAAAGCTCAAGAACTCACTCGAAAAGGCGATTTCGCTTTTTCATTGCTTTACGACTGGATTTGAGCCAGAGTTTTCCAAATGTGAAGATATCGTTGAGATCAGCTTGTCGAGCTTTATAAGCAGATCCTTTGATGTAGATAGAGCTTTATCTGGGATTGCGCCAAGCAGTCAATTCTCATTCAGAGAAATAATCTGTGTGTGATACGTATGCCAAGCTCCGAGATACGCCATGTACTCGATCCAGTCCACCACATTGCGAAATGCTGTGAATATTTTTTCCGGATATCAGGTTCTTTCTTAACTTTCAAAGCGCTAGGTGACTAAGCAGATGACATCGTTCTTTTCTCGAGTAGAACTACGGAAGCTGAAGACGATGCTCGCTGAACTGAATGAAGCAGGAAAGAAGGTGGGGTTGCGGATCAACCAGAAAAAGACACAGTTCATGAAGAACGATTGGTCCGATGGAAGCGGAATCAAGATTGACGGCATACTAATCAAGAGAGCCACATCTTACGTTTATCTCGGGCGTCCCATGAACATGGACAACGATATGAGGGAAGAGCTAGTAAGGCGACAGAGAGC